TGTTTTTATCTTGGAAATGGGGCGGGGCATAGAGAGTATGTTTTCCTTTGAAAGATGTGATGGGTTAAAGGCCAGTTTTCAGCTTTAGTTTTCTTGGCCCCTGATTCACGTCCATTTTCAACTCTAACAGCTTCCAGTATCAATCACACAGGAGCCAAACTCGCCATGAGCCAGATCTCTCCACAGCTCTGAATTTCTAATTTTCTTTCTTTAATGGATGTGCAGCCGCTGCTCAGTGTTCTCAGAGGGCTAGGTGAGAAGGAAGCAATCCATGGGGACCTTGTAAACAATGAAGAAAACAGAGCCTTTTTGGCACTTCAGTCCCCTGGTGATGCTGCAAATTGTGAGGCCAAAGATGGGTAGGTTCTGGGACTGGCTTGCCTGGGGGTTGGTTGATTAGTTTGGGTTAGAGTTGAGTTTCACAAAAACAGAATGGGAGTAGGGAATGAATAGGGGAAAAACAGGGGTGTTGGTGGGCAGTTTAATTTAGGCAAGCGAAGTGTATTGGAAGAACATCAATTCTAATGTACTGTGGGGGTCTTGTTTATGGGACTCCCCAGATTCACTGGGTCCCACCTGCCTCACCCCCCAGCCCCATTCTCAGCCAATTGCTCCATGGGAAGGCTGGCTGCTACTGCAGTCCTTCTGATTGCTATCTTAACATCGGCAAGATGTGTGTGTGGATAAGGACAAGACATCAGCATGGCCTCCATCACATCTGCTGCCATAAGATCCAAAGTAGCTCCAGCACAAGCATCTAACCCTTCTGGAACCACTTCCTTAGCAGCTGTCCACAAAGGTCAGGAAATAAAATCTGAAAGTATAGGGGAATTGGTGTCTGCTAAGGTGAACATTGGCCACTAAGAAACAGGAGACCGGAAGAAAGCAAATAAACACCTTCTGTTTCTTACCTTGCTTCCACCCTCCTACAGTTCTGAGCCACCATCATTCCACATAGCTGCTTCAAACACAAGCTGGTGACTAAGAAACTGGCAAGGCTTTCTAATGAGACTGTGGCCAGCTTAGAAACACAGCCCTTGATATCTGCTTTCTCTGATTTTGTGGGCTTACCTCCCTTTTCTACGCTGGGATTATAACTCCCAATAAAGCATTAGTATGTAAGCTTTACTTTATTCATGCTCTATTTTCTAGAAAAAGTGAGCTAAGACAGAGCCAAGGCAAACACCACATCTGGAAGAATCTAAGTAAGGTCAACAGAGGAAGACATTAATTAAATGCTGTTACCTACCATATACACAAATGTGTATGCATAGGAAGTGAAGTTACAAGTACTTTTTCAATCACAAAATGATCATAAAATAACTAAAAATAACTTCAGATGTTTCTTATGCTCCTACTAAAGGTAACATGATTATATATCTTACTAAGGAATTCAGTTGTCTTGGTTTTTTAATTAACAGGTTACATAAAACTTGACTAAACTGGCATTTGGCATTTTAGCTGGATTCATGGATTCAGTTGAATCCTCTGAAGCAGACTTTGAGCAAATTTTAGATTTGACTTTCACTAGTGCACCCTCCCCTTCATTGCCAAGAGACTCAAACCTGGGAAGCAAGGAAGCAAAGTCAAAGTTCCCATCACTGGGCCCAGAGAAGACATCCAAGGGCAGGCTTCCTTGGGGGAGATTTTCATGGTGTTATGGGTTTGGCTGTAAGGAGGTGCAAAGTTTTATCAGAAGTGAAAAGCTTGCAGTAGCAGGCCTTCATCCATTGCTTGACTGCTTTTGCAAAATACTGCAACAAACCTGAAGACTTATGTTTGGCCTAATTGCTTGGATAAAACAGGATTCTCAAAATTTGATTCTCAAACAATGCGAAGCTATTACACTGCTTCTTCATCCCCTTCCTCCTTTCTCTGCCTCCACCATTGTATCTTTAACTGTAGATTTTTTCTGGAAGGAATGGGCACCGTAACATTTGAGGCCTGTTAGATGGGCTATACTGTTGCGAAAAGCTCTCTGGCATCAGAGAAGTTTCTCTGTGGTATTTAGATTAATCATTTATTTCCTTTCTTCAGTATGAGGCTTTTCCCCTGCAAAATATTTGAGGGATGGGTATTTTCAATCTTTCTTTGGATTTCTGGTAGGAGGCAAGAAAACACCCAATGTTTTATAGGAGAGGTTTTTAAATCAGTTTCTAAGCAGGTAATTTTTAGTGCTCATGGGACCAGTCTGCTCTCTCCTAAATAAGAAACCCAGCCTGTGCACGATCATCTTCGCTATACAGGATGAGTGAGTGAGAAGAAATCTCATTGTTTTTTCCGTGGAACAGACTGCCTTGGCAATGAGCCCAGTCATTCAGGAGTTCTCTATGATCTGTCATTTATAACCAACTCATAATCATGACTGACTGTAGGCCAGAGGCCAACATGAAAAGATTGACTACATTTATTTTTGGTTTTTCCATCCTGTCCCTTCTTGCCATTTCCCATTTTAACACAAGTGTTATTAGACACCCACACACGAGTACTCCATTAATCCAAGTTAGGCTCTCCAAAGAGAGAGCTCTGTGGCTTCCAGTGAGATGGGATGCCACCAGATTCTGGAGGGGACGGAAAAGAATGCTCATATTGAACTTAAAACATCCTTGGCTGCAGTTTAAATCCTAACACTTCCAGGCTGAAGACATCCTCCAGAGATGCTTTATTCATTTTTGTACCTAGCTCCTGGTACCAGGTACCATAGTTGTCTAGGAAATGCCTTCTGAGAAGAATTTTAGGGTCAGAAAGCCCATGCTTTTCTTTTTTTTCTTGCATTCTACACCCTTGGCTATTCAATGACCTTTCAAAAATGATTCAGTGTTTGTAATTTTAAAAAATAATTTTATTTACATATAATCCACTTGGAACTTATTTTTATATGTAAATGGAAATATAATTTTGCTCCAATCTGAAATGCCACTTCTTAATATATACTGAATTTCATTGTTAGTTCTCTGCTTTACCCATTCTTCTGTTTGTCTATTCCTGTGCTAGTAACATAGTTCAAATGATGGTAGCTTTAGGGAATATTTTAATATAAGAAAGGGAAACTTCCCTCATACCTTCCAATTTAATTATTCTTTTAAAGTACTGACTTTTTTCACATAGACTCTTTCAAATGAATTTAAATGTAAATAATGTAAGTAAAGCTAATTGGAATTTTGGCAAATGTGTGTGTGTGTGTGTGTGTGTGTGTGTAAAAGCTTTTTTGTAGATATACATTTTTGAAGGACTGGTCTTTCTTTAAGCCATGACTTCCCACTCAGGAACATGATATGCCTTGTCCTTGCTAGGCAAGTACTCTACCACTTGAGCCATGCCCCCAGCCCTTTTTTGCTTGACTTTATTTTTCAGATAGGTTTTCATGTTTTTTCCTGGGTATGGCCTTAGACTGCAATCCTCAGACTTCAGCCTCCCACATAGCTGGGATTCTACAGATGTGACCACCATGTCTGGTTTGTTTGTTGAGATGGGGTCTTGCTAACTTTTTGCTCAGACTGTCCTCCTGATCTCTATGTCTATATTCAACATTTTATTAAATTCTTATTAGATGTTCATCCATTCATTTATTCACCAATCAATGTTTACTGAGTATCTATAACAGGTGGGCCATTTTTCTAAATGTAAGGGATACACTCAGGAACAACACATATGTTTATTAGAGAACATATTTCCTGTAAACGCTCTTCATTTGTTCTCAGCTTCAATGAACAAGTAAAGGCAATTAAGGGCCTATTTTGGTTCTCCACAAGGCCAAGATGAGTTCAGGGTTTTGGTCTTTCTATTTAGCAGTCCTTACTGCGTACTGGTCATTGACCTCCAGCACATCCAGCATTCTGTCTGCATTCCAAGCAGGAAAGAGGACACGAAAAAAGGACAAGAAAAGTGTGGCACCTGAGCCTGACCTCCCCTTTCTAATTTTCCTAGAACTCCACTCTGAATTATGCCTCCAGTCAACTGGCCAGAAGCATACCACATGGCCACATTTGTCTCCATTAGCCACTGCATCACTCCCTTAGAATCAGCATCCTCTTAGTAAGGAAGAAGGGGAGAAATAAATTCCTACCCTGGTGGAAAGATTCAGAGAATTTATAGCTGAGTGTTGAGGATTTTCAATGACTCAGTTCTCAGACTATTTCCTACTTCATCACCACTTATCCCATTGGTGATCTCCCTCAGTCTCATGACTGTAACCATTTGTATGCTAGTGATTACTTTCCCTAAACCTCAGATTAAAATAGCCAACTGCCTAACCTGGCATTTCCACTTGGATATCTACTAACTATCTCAGATTTAACCTGTCCAAAATGATTAACTCCTTCACCCGAACTGTTTCTCCACCGCTTTCCCTGTCTTAGCAAGCAACAATTGTACACTTCTGGCTGCTCAGGTCAAAAGCATTGGAATCACCCCTGAATTTACTACTAGGACAGTCCCAGGCAAATAAATAGTACTGGTCATACTTTAGTAACCATTCTCCACACATCACACATGGAGAAAACCAGGTACTCATTAATAACTATAACTTCATTAGGCAACCCAACAACAGCAGCAGTAGTCAGAACAGATGGGATACTGGTGTAGTGCAGGCTGTGTTTACATTTTGACCCTGAATGGTCAAAATCAATAAAAACAGAGCAAGAGTCATTTTGTCCACTGTTTTATCTTGCCCCTTCTTACCTGATCTATATCCATTTCTATCACCATTTGAAGTTTAATCCCGATGGTTAAGAAAGTATATGCTCTTCTGTGGTAAGTTAAGTCAAATAAAGCCATTCTTCAAATTTTCAGTGGCCTCCCTTTCCCCAAAGGTACAAACAATCCCATGAGCCACATCTTCTTTAGTCAAGACTGACCTCTAGGGCGGGTGATGTGGTTCAAATGGTAGAGCACCTGCCTAGTAAGCATGAGGCATGAGTTCAACCCCCAAGTCTATAAAAAAAGAAAAAAAAAAAGATTGACCTCTAGGTCATTCACTAAGTCAACACAGCAAGAACAAGTCACTAGTCACAAAGTTTTATTACAGGGGTCAGTACACATATCCTTCTGAAAAATGCTTTGAGCCATTTACATGATAGTCACAAACACATCAGAATCTGGTGTATTTTTGGTTTGCTTGGCAAGGGAAAATAAAGATTACTGCAAAATCATGAATTCACGTCCAAAACACCTGATTTAAAAAAAAAAATTCTACAAAATAGAAGTATTAAACACTGCCAGCCCTACTGTGTCAAAAAAACATCGTGCAATTCAATCAAGAAGATAATTCATACAAAGACAACAAAGCAGGTGTGGGCAATATGAAGCAACTTGTTATAAAAAATGCAGAGTCAAAGATGAATTACAAAAAATAAAAAATGAAATTTTGTTCATAAAATTACCACTACATAATGCTGGAGGAGGGTGTCTCCTAGTTGCTCACTTTAAGGGGAAAAGAATCAAATTGCTATTTATTCATAAGGGAAAAGGAAAATACTTCTGATAATAAGTGATTTCTTTCTCATCTGCTATCCAGAATTCCTGAACATTTGACATAACCTTGTCAATCTGTAGAAATGAGGAAATAAAACTGGCAGCGGGCCTTCAGTGGGACACTCACAACACCCGAACAAGGTCCAGAGTAATCCTAGATCGGGGGATGTCAATGTTGAGTACTTGGACTTCCACTCTTTCTCCAGGGCCCAGTCCAAGGCTCCTTCTCTTCTTCGTTTTAGAAAGTTTTGTTTCTGTTACATTTCTTATGGGAATCAGTCCTGATTTTCCCACCCCTATATCCACAAAAATTCCAAACAGAGTGGCATTCTCAACTTTGCCTGTAAGAACTGTCCCAACCTGCAGATCTTCCAGGCATACTATGCTTCTCTTGAAGTCAGGCTTATCAAAATCTATGAGGGAAGAGGAAAAAAAGTTAGTGTAGCTAAGACACTTAGAGGACTGGCATTCACACTGTGCATTGATTATAAGCCCAGAACATTATTAAGCTTTGAGGGAGGGACCTAAAGACACAGGCCTCCCTTCTAAGAAATGCATTCTAGGAGAAATAGTGTTCACACAGTAGAATAATTCAAGAAAATTTACTCAAACATTTCTTCTCCCCAAACTTCATTTCACTAATGTGAACACTACCTATCAGGATTAAGAGCAGACAGTCTATTTTCCTCTCTGTGAGAGATGATGAAAATATATCTTTGCTCAATGAACACACTTGGCTAAATCACAAGCAATGAGAAAGTAAGATCATTGGAGACAGGAAATTGGGAGTTTTGTTTTCAATGCTTAGATTTTTAAATTCTTCAAAGTGGCAGAAAGTACATTAACTTTTGGCTCAACGTAGATGAAATTCAAATGTTCTCTTTTTTCACATCTTCTCACAAATTTGGAACTCAGGAATCAATCCCTTCCATTTCAAATATATTTATCCAATCAAAATGTATGGATTTTTGACTATTGTTAGGAACCCAGACCAGCTAGAACCTAAACTTCTTCTCTTCTTTCAATTGGATTCATTACCTCCTGCTATTATGACCTCCTGGCCAGACACTCTGCTGGATGCTAGAGATACAAAAGTGAAGACACTTAGCTCTCTGTTCTCAAGTTCCTTACTGCCCTCTTTCCTGGCTCATCCCAGTGAACATTTCTTTGTTCACTAACCCTGTCCCCTAAAAGTGGACATAAAGCATGTCAAGGAATCATTATGGCTGTACGTAAAACAGAAACGACAACAAAGGTTTTATGAGGGAGAGAGTGAGAACTAACAGTTTAAATGGGGCTTGTGAATTATCTGTGGCCTCACTTATCCATGCTCTTCTTGCCCCCCCCTTTCCTAGGATTACTGTGTTGACTCTAATAACAAAGAACACATTCTATGCTTGGATCTCCTTTTACTAAGGCCTCATTTTACTCTCCACCCAGACCATTTCCTTTTCCTCTACAGCTGTTGGCTTTATCCTGATTACTTGTTAAAATTATCCTTTACATTTGTATTAACAACTGGTCACTGCTTTCTTCCCCTCCCCCTGCCCAACTATTCAAAACCCAGGATCTTTCAAAAATTAAGCTTCCTGTAAAACAAAACAAAACAAAACTCTCTTTAAACCCTAAATCTCATTTTCTTCATAAAAAAAAGAATATGCTAAAATTGGAAGAGATTCTGTAGGATTTCACCTGATGCTGAAGCAGTGAATTCCAAAAGCAAGAAACCTACTGAAATGTAATATCACATTGGGCAAGGGCTGTGTCAAAGCAAAATGAAATTATGTCCTTGATCAGGGCCAGAGGCAGGCTGGTCTCTGAGGCCCTATAAGGCATTGTTTTTACACTTGGAAACTCTTTTTCTCTTTTTCTTGCAGAAGTCCAGCTGCTGCAGATTCTCCAAGGGGTTCTGATCAGCTGTTTAGTTTAATTTTGCATGGAAAATCAGAGTCAGAAACTATTTAACATGTTCCTGAAGACAGTCTGGGCCACTGAGAAATCAGAAAATCCTCCATGTACCCTGCAAACTTTTAACACTTTGATTGCCAAAGCTGTACATATTCAGTCCTCTGTCTCAGACTACTCCTGATGAGCCCAATTATGGAAGCCAACTTGCAACCAGAGCGTTAATAAAAATGGAATTGATTATATCATTAAGAAAACAGGATGAGTATAAGGAAAGAATGAAGCATTAAGAAAGAAAATACTTTTGAGAAAATAGAGAAAAGAGATGTAACATAAATACTGTAATGTGGAAATGCCCAAAATATCCCTCAAAACTATGACTCATTTGCCTTTTTCCTTGGGGATATGTGTAGCAGTAAAATGACAGTTCTCAAGTATCTTGAAAATTGTGACTTATACTAGGGCAAGGTCAGTTCCAAAGTTTGCTTAAAGACACCTATTTAAAATTTCACTTGTCACACTGACAGTTTAGTAAGTGAAAAGCTTAGTCCAGAGCCCAGATCCATTTGTATTTCTGCTCAATGAAGGGCAAATTGGGAAAGGACCTCTACTTGGCTTGACTGGTTAACTGGACCATGTAATTTGAGTGTTGATTTTTGCACAGTGTCACTGTGATGATGGGTCAATCAACACCATGAAAAACAAAGATAGACAAGAATAACCAGTATATGATACCTGGAGTTGAAGCTTATTTGTCAACCCTCTAATGCAGTGCTATAGGCACATCACCTGAATTCCCACCCTGTTTGAGACCTACAGTTCTACTGAGTTTTCCTGCCAAATTTACCTTTGGAATTCACACAAAAGGAACTAGGCTTCCAAATGAAGATGGATTTGTCTGCTAAAACAACTGTTATGTGTGAAAGGCCACCTGGAGGCTCCTACTTCCACATTTTTGTCATTGGTCTTACTGGGTGTTTGCTTTTCTCCAATTTTAAATTTAAAATTTTTTAAATTGAAAAAAATTAAAACCTACAGAAAAGTTGAGGGAATAGTTTACAATAAATTTGCTGGGTTTGTTTTAAAATTCCTTTTAAAACAAGGAAGTATGTCCAACCACCTCAAGGCAGCCTATACCCAGAATGATGAGACAAACCTTATATATGGTATCATCAAAACTGGTTATAAGAGACAAGTATGCAAGTTCATTTAAATCTCAGGGGTTCCTATTCAAACTTCCTTAGGAAGTAGGTCATTTGATACATTAATTCTTTTTCACCGGGTCATTGCTCTCAACAACTATGGCTATTATACTTCCTTTACCCTCTACCTGTGCTGAAAGCTGAGAGCACTTTTAATTAGAAGGAAAATCAACAGAGAGATATCATCTTATTTGTTCAATGTGCTCACTGACACAGAATCTAGAAACTTGGAAAGCTGTAATTTAGGAAGAAGATTCACTTTTTAGCTTGTGAATGGAATGCTTTACCTTGGATTTCTGGCTCCTAGGACAGAAAAAACTTACAGTAGAATCATGAAAACAGTAAAAACTTACAGTAGAATCATGAAAAGTATGTTGTGCCTTTGTGCACCAGTATATACATGGTGCATTTAGCCTTGCGTAAGGACAAATAAACAGTGGACAAGCAGTCTGTAGACCTGGCCTCTAGCTTTGGACTTGGCGGGATAGTTATTAAACTCCTATTTTCTCGTGTAAAGAATGAGACTTTGCTTGGTGCTGATGGCTCACACCTGTAATCCTAACTACCTTGGAGGCTGAGATCGAGAGAATTGAGGCTCAAGATCAGTCTGGGCAAATAGCTCACAAGACTCCATTTTCAAAAGAATCAGAGCAAAATGAACTGGAGGTACAGCTGAAGTCATATAGCACCTGATTTGTAAGTGCTAAGTCCCAGTCCCACCAAAAAAAAAAAAAAAAAAAAAAGAGATTCTCTTTTGCTTATGGCATAGGCCTGTAGACTTGCTGTGAAGATTAAAGGTGACAATGTGAGCTATGTAGATTGCAAATGCCAAGTGCTATAATTCTGGTTCAACTTACCTGTTCGAAAATCAAAGCTTTCAGGCTGGCTGAGACCATCTATGATGACCTGTAAGGTGTGTGCTGTTGTTTGCAACCTTTCTGCAGTTTTCTCTATTCCTTCCTTTTCAAGGGATGAATTTATTTTTTGTTGCATTTCAGGCTTCCCAATCTCACACACTGTCCCTCCGATGAGTGACACAAATCTTCAATGAAAAGAAAAGTGCAACATTTATCAGTATTATTTCTTTTCCAATTTCCTTACACAGGTCATCCTAAAATTCATTTATCTACACATCACCATGTATTAATCAGTCTTTATTAAGAATCTATTATGTGACCTATTCTGTAACAGTAATCTACCTTGGGAGGAAAAGAGGTATGTGAGGGGAGAAGGTGCATTTAAGTTCTTGTGCTATTTTTGAAATAAAGTACCTGCTCAGAGTCAAAACCAGTAATATTTTACAGTGTAACATTCACTATAGTTTAGTAATATATATTTCTAAATAAGGATATACATATTTGCCTTGTTTCCTAAAATTTCCATTAAGAAAGGATTTAAGTTTAAATTAGCTAAGAGATAATTTATTGATGATACCAAAATCCAACAAAGTATGTATCAAGTATTACAGCTTTTGACAAATGAATTACTCTATTGATTTTTACTTCTTTGTATCCATGACAGAGTGCCACCTGTCAGTATACTGTCAGCCTAATGACTCTCAACTTCCATCAAGTTCACATAAACTAAATTATATCAAGAACATGGAGTATTCAGAGAAAACAAAAAAATTTACAAGGTACAGCTCAGTGGTAGAGTGTGTGCTTAGCATATGTGAAACTCTAGGTTCAATCACCAGCACCCAAACAATCAAAAAACAAACAAGCAAGTAAGCAAAAAACAGAGGAGCTATCTGAAAGAAAAAGTAACTTTCTTCCAAAATAAAACAAATGAGACCTCAATGATACAATCTAAACACAAGTGTTACTTTACATACTTTATACCTCACATAGCTATAATACTTGCAAAATAAAAATAGCTGCCTTTTAAAATTTACTTTTGCTGTTTACTATTTCCCTTGCTTACAAATGCTTCTCGATTACTTGACTTTGGAGTTCAAAAATGTGAAAAGAAAACAAAACAACAACAAAATAACCAAACCCACAACTAAAGGGTTAAGATGTACTTCCATTCAATTTTACATGAATATGGGGCTATAGCTTACTTTCTTGACATTCCTTGGCTTGGTATTTTTCTACATCATTAAGTTCCATTTCCTATGATTAATGGCACTTTAAAAATGTCAACAAACTAATCAGACAGATAGCGATATTAATGCCTTCAAATCCTTTCCTCTAAGGATGTCTCTTGAATACAAGAAGGGAAAAAAGGAAACTGCTGGAGGTTTGTCTACAATCAGAATTGGGATAGATTCCATTTGGCAGGTGGCTGCATCATCACAAAAGGAATGTTGGGATTCCAAGCCTTTTCTTACATTGTTGTGTTCAACCCAGAAAGGCCTCTTCAGTGATACTGTGATACCATAATCTTGTATCTGGTACAGAAAGCTCTCCCATCTGTCATTTAATAAGGATGTCTCTTTGGCTTCAAATGTGCAACTCTTCTATACTTCAGCAGCCATGTTTTTGCTTAAAAAAAGATTCTCAAGCATCCAGCTAATTCCCTTGACAATGTATTCTGATTAATGATTTTTAAAAAGGACAAGAAGTGTTGCTTAGTATCCTTCTTTGGAAATGAGCTTCCATTAAAACTGCAGGTCAGGGGGATATACACTGTAAGTCCCTGTCTGTGGCTTCCCCAGCAGGTCAGAGAGGCAGCACGTATCTGTTAGCACTGAATGATGGGCTGTGGTGACAGAGCCCAGCAGCTGGAATTCTGACTGATGGGGCAGATGACACATGACCACCTCTGCCTACAGCCAACTTCCTTACACAACTTTCTAAATAATTCATGCCCTGCTGAGCAGGCTTCCCTGGTATTGACTGTGGTGGCTTTACTGCTCTACAACTGGCTACTTAGCAGAACATCTTTCAAATCCTCAAAATTCTAGTTCATACCTATTTATTACAATGCCTGTAAGTGTATTTATGGGCTATAAATCTATAACCCTGAATACTATCTTACAAGTAGTAATAATAACTAATAGTGGACACTTCCCAAAGCACTGTACAACTCTGCCTCAATAACAAAAACAACTGCTCAGCAGGCTACTTGGACTCTTTAGATTGTGTGTGTGTGTGTGTGTGTGTGTGTGTGTGTGTGTAAGAAAGGAACTAACTGCTACTAATGTCACTTCCATATAAAGAAGTCTGCTTATAGTGATTGCAGATGTAAGAGGAAAATCGGTCTGTTTAACCTGGGTGCATATTTCTTATATTATTTTCATTCTCATACACACAAGCCTGAGGGCACCAGCAACTGAAATCAATAAAAAAGCACCAAATTTCCTTCTAGTTAATGCCACATATTGATCAACTCTATTTTTAAATGACTAAGAAGTGACATTAGGTGCTTTTGTATTTTGAAAACTTTCTTAAAGCTAACAACAAGGTCACAGAAAAAGAAAAGCAGCAAACAAAGGGAGAGGGAGTCTAAAGAGAACTGGGACTGACCTCTACCCTACTGGATTTCAAATATATTCAACTGTATATGATAGGAAGCAATGTTTTATGCTTAGTGGCCACACAATAGACCCGCTCGTTAAATATCCTCAGAAAAATTTATTCTACATATTCCAAATTCTCAAGTAGCACTGAGAAGTAATAGTCAACACAAGGTACTTCCTAGCTCAAAAGTACTAAATGAAAATACACTCTACTTTAAGAAAGTTGGAACACAGAATCTAAGTGAGCCTGTACTGGGAAATATGTGCCAGGCATTATGCTAGTTGGGCATTCTCATTTAATCATGGCAATAATCCTGAAAGGTAGGTGTGACAACATGTAGAAAAGGAAAACTGAGGCTCAGGGCAGCTAAATGACCTGTCTAAGGTTGTGTGGCTGTTCACATCCATGGGAGCTTTATGCCATACACAAGGTATGTGTGTCACTGGGGCATATAAAACTTCATGTATTCTATTTGGTTAAGACAGAAAACACAATACTTTTGGCAATAGTTTACCAACACTATTTAATGACAGATTACTTATAAACATTAAGACAGTTTAACATAGAGCAAATCCCAAGAATTTACTATACATAAGCTTTTAAATGGCAATTCTTTCCAAAGCAAATGAGTTATTACAGTCATAGTCTCATTTTCTCCACTCTCCCTGGAAGGCTTTTTTAGTTAGCTAAGGATTGCTGGTGGAGCTGCTGTTTTTATTTAATATGTAATTTCATCCATCTTACTTAAAGTAAGAAAGTAGCATAAATTCAACAAATAAGCACATCATGTTCTTTTAGTGCACATCTGCACAAAGTTAAAATACAGAACTTACAGCAGAGATAATGCTTATTTTTCAAACAGGAAGCCAGATAACCTACAATCACCAATATTTTCAACAGAAACTTCTTACAAATGCAGGCTTCTTTCCCCTCAAAGAATAAGAAATATCTATGTAAGATTTTTTTTTTAACCAAAGAAAAAGAAATTCTCAAGACTTGAAGACTTCAGACATAGCCACTCAGCTCTCTGTAATCGTTTCCAGCATTGAGATTTAGGAGCTGAGGGCTCGGTTCATTACATTAGAGCAACATGATCCTGCAGAGTACAAAAGAGCCATGGCGATGCAGCGCAATCACTTTAAAAACAACTTAATATTAACGCGTGCTTGGTGGGCAAAACACAAATGATTTACAACTCCAAGAACCAGGCTCTAAGGGCAAACTACTTCTAGTTGTCTACCTACTCTTGCACTTTTCAGAGCTGTTCATACTTGTTTCTTTTTATCTATTAGTTTCCCTCAGTTATAACATAATTTCATCACAAGTAAAAAATTACAGGCAAGAGCACAGACATATTGGAAATGAATAGGAACAGATAGTGCAGGTCACAATTGGTAATACAGAAAGAGATCTGATGATTTAAAGAGATTTTATACCCTACAGGAAATCTGGCTTTTTAAGCTGATTGTGGATTAAGTAGTGAGGTAAAAATGCAAAGTTCTATAGTCATTTGTTACTCTAAACCCATAGTTATTTTGTATATTTTCAAATCTGCTGCTCTTGACATGATGAATACAAATTTAACGTGGACAAGGAGAAAAACCTGCTGCTCTTTTGCCCTTTCTCCAGGAGAGCTGCACATACACAGGTGCATGCGCAAAGCACCCACTTAGTCTGGCTTGAAGTTAAGAGCACCAGCTTCACCACATCTACTGCCGCAGCAGTCCAATCACAGGGACAGCAATTAATCATATCAAAGATTCTTTTAAAACTTCTACCATCCTTGTTAAACCAAGACACGGACCTCGACCACAATCCTTAGAAATCTGTGCTGTGCAAACCTCACAAGTAACTGTAAATTCAAAGGGAGTGCATTTATGGAGAGGCCTGCAGAACCACCTACTGCACTACAGAAGCCAGTGGAGAGCTAGTGAAAACAATATCAAAATGGCATTTCTTGACATTTAACCAATCACAGAAAGAGCAAATAAAGCTCCATAAGAACTTACAGTGGACTGGCTTTTAAAAACTAGAAAACTATAGATGGATATGTTTAAAATATGATCCTTTTACGGAGGGTGACAGGCTTGTTCCAAAGGCTCTCATAGACTCTGACCTGAGATCACAGTTTTAAACACAGCTAGGTGGGCCAGTCTGAGGCACCTTTAGTATCATTGACTGGCACCATTTAAAATGTCTTGGGAGCATCTCCTGCATAGATATGTAGCAGACAACCACCACAAATCAACAAGAAGTCATCATGAATTAGGGAGGGTAAATTTTTCTTCCTAAAGGAAGCATCAGACTGTTTGTTACCTGCTTTACCTTCCGAAGAACTTACCAAATGTTTCCTTCTTTCTCAAGAGTCTGCCATACCAGCTCAGAAACTGGATACTCATTGCATGTTGTAGTATAGTAATTGCATGGAGGGAGACCTGTCCTCAGAAGGCTGTTTTAAACTTTATACACTGAAGCAATTTAGTATAAGGAATTAGCTTGTTTTTCATGCCAGTTAAAATGTACTTACACAGAAATCTTCTAAGTTTAAGAGTTAGGATGATCTTCCACTTAGAAATAG